TGGTTAGCTTCGGGGTTATGGTTAGGGTTAGGGTTGGGATTAGGGTTTATGTAAAACCGTTTTGTACGGCTGCAACACCATAAAAACCAAAGTCACGTGAAATTTTTGGGCGAGCGAATTAGTAAGAGCCAGTGAGCAGCAGTGAGCAGCATGAGCAGTTAGCAGCAGTTTCTTTGCACTTAGCCCCGCCTGTGCGTATGACAATAAATCTCCACTTGCTCTATCCAGAGCCTTTGCACTTGTAGTAACGCGTGCGATCTGACCCAAAACAAGCGCGCCTACAGTGGCGCGAAAGCACATGGTTAGGTTGTAGCGTGATGCACTACTGGGCCTCGCCGCGCATTTTCTCGCAACCATATACTTCCGTAAATCGGCGAGATGCACCACTGGGCCTCGCCGAGCTAGGAAGGATTGACATCGTGAATAGAATCAAATGGTTAGGTAAATATTTCCACCAAAAGCTCATATGAAATATATTTATATGTTATTTATATGTTATTATTCACGACTGCATTGAGTTTAACATTCCACTTTATGTTAATTTCATTGATTTTAAGGCAGCGTTTGATTCCATCAGAAGAGAGTTTATTTGGTCAAGCATGAGACACTATGGACTTCTTGAGAAATATGTTAGAATCTTTCAGGCATTCTTCAACGGAACCATGAGTGCTGAATCCCGAAGAGCTAATTGAAGCAGAGACCCTATTTAAACACCTGGGAGTTAAGATCACGACATCCGGAGAACGCCATCTTGGTGCTGTTGTAGGCTCAAAAGAATTCAGGGAAGAGTACATCAAAGAAAAAGTTGAAAAATGGATAGTTGATATTGATCAACTAGCAGATGTAGCGACGGAAGAACCACAACTGGCTTATTCGACCTTTACTAAAGGAATATGCCACAGATGGAGATACTACAAGCGTACTATACCAGACATTGGAGAGCACTTTGTCCCACTAGAGAGCAAGATCATGCATGTGCTCATTCCAGCCCTCCTCGGTCGCCCTGTCAACCAGCATGAAAGAGATATCCTTGAACTCCCTGTTCGATGTGGAGGCCTAGGTATCATCAATCCTGTCAGGATAGCATCTCGTGAATATATGCATTCTCAGTGGAACTCACTAAAGATCTTGTGAGTTTGATCAACCAACAAGACCAGGATATTACCAAGCTGGATATGGGCAAGATGAAAGAAAAGAAAGAAGAACTGAGAAAACAGAAAGATGAGTTTCTATCACAAAGGTTCAAGATGCTTTATAATGGGTCAGATCATCTTCTTAAGAACCACTTAAACCAAGCAAGAGAGAAGGGAGCATCAACATGGCTTTCAGCATTACCTCTAAAGGACCTCAACTATGTTCTAAACAAGCAAGAGTTCCAAGACAGCATATGCCTACGCTATGGATGGAAGATCCAAGGAGTGCCTTCTAAATGTGCTTGCGGACATGCAAACAGTGTCTACCACTCCCTTGATTGTAAATTAGGTGGATATGTTTGCATGCGCCACAATGCCATTAGAGACACTGCAGCTTTCTTCCTTCAAGAAGCAAAGTGTAAGGATGTAAGGATAGAACCTGCACTCCTACCTGTCCAACCAACTTCATTCTCCAGGAAGACCAACACCCAGGATGAAGCCCGTCTGGATGTAGCAGCTGTTGGACTGTATGCCCCATTTGAAAGAACATTCTTCGACATCAGGGTCACTCATCCTAATTGCGACTCTAATACATTTAAGCCACTAGATAAAATCTACAGTGCACAAGGATACAAGGATACAAGGATACAAGGATACAAAAGTGATAATTACTTTATTGAGTACACAATAGTTGTAATTCTGAAATAATTTAAGTTACACAATTCTAATTATTTACAAGTGTGTAGGGATAATTTAGAAATGTTATATAATGCTAGTTTTAGAAAAATAGATAAATCGAGTTTGTATGGTTCAATCTTATTTTAAGGTCCTATAGCATTATGCACTTGCCAGTATTTGAGTGGAAATCTGGGCTCTTATAGTAGGCTGTATAATTTTCGTTCACAGAGAGAATTGAATGGATTGCTCTTGCTGTGGCAGTGAGTGTGGTAGGATCTAGAGTTTTGTTGGAGAGCAAACCGACTAGGTCAGTAATGTTTAGGGGATGGAAATTGAATTTTTCCCTAACTGAGGAGTAGAGCAAACAGTCAATCAATACGTGACTTTCGTCCTCAATAGGCTTGAGCCCTTTGCGGAAAAAGCAGAAGGTGCACCAACGTTCTTCTCTTGGTACAAGGGGGGTTTCGTATCTGCACATGAGAAAGAGAAGAAAGATCTCTATGAGGAAAGGGTACTTCAGTCAGAGAAAGGGTCCTTTGTCCCACTAGTCTTTACAACATCCGGAGGTATGGGCCCACTCTGCACTGTGTTTGTAGATCGTATTTCTGAAAGGATAGCTGACCACAATAAAGAAGCTAAGAGCCAGGTCAAAAACCACATCAGAACACGATTCAGGTTTGATCTGCTACGAAGCACACTCATAGCACTCAGGGGAATCAGAGGAAGACAAAAAGCCCAGCACCTTGGACTGGATGACGTATCCTTCAATCTCTTTCCTCAGAAGACGAGCTTTGAGGTCTCTTAAGTTTGTTTATATAAATTTTATAGATAATTTATTGTAGCTTCTATATTGTGTAAAATTTTACGGACGAAATGATCCCAGGGGGGACTCCCAACCCACCGCCTCGGCGGGTAGTTGATACACCTTTCACAAGCAAAAGCCACTTTAGTCAACTTGCTGTGAGGTGTCTCAGCACCATGAGTGCTGTCAGGGTTAATGGTGAAATGTCTGATTGGTTCTCTGTTAATTCGGGCACTGGATAGGGTGATATCCACGGCCCTCCTGTATTTAATTTTTGTCTGAACTTTGGAATCTTTTTGGCCGATGTTCACAAGGCAATCAGTCATGGTGCTGTACTGCAAAAGGAACTAAAGGGTGCAGATGAAAAAGTTATCATGGATAGTGACTACACTGATAATCTGGCAGTGATGGACAATACTGAAGAAGGGCTGCAAGAGTCCAATGATCTTATAGCTTATTACACCTCTTATACTGGGTTAAAGATCAACGCTAAAAAGACACAATGCATGGCGATCAGCAAGTGTGCGTCTCAGCGACCTTACACCGAAAGAGACAGTATAAAGCTAACAGTGGAGGGAGAACCTGTTGAACAGGTCAGCAACTTTGTTTATCTTGGTGCCAACATCAGTGGGGATGGTACCATTGACCGAGATCTTGACATCAGGATCCAGCGTGCTAATGGTGCGTTCCATCAGCTTTGGAAGATATGGAACAGTCGAACTATAAGAACACCCACCAAGATCCGTATCTACAAGGCTGCTGTTATTACTATTCTGTTATATGGAGCTGAAGTCTGGAACACAACAAAGAAGCAGATGAAACGGTTTGAGGTCTTCCATCTGACCTCCCTGAGAAGAATCTTGAAGATAAAGTGGTTCTTCCATGTCTCCAATGAAGAAGTTCTCAGGCGTGCTGGAATTAAGTCTATCGAATCTTTCATCGGTGCGGCTAGACTAAGGTGGTACGGACATGTTGTCAGAATGCCAGAGACGCGGTTTCCCAATTTCTTACTGGATTGGAAACCAAACTATGGAAAGAGACTGAGACAGAGGCGGCTATTGAGGGCGTCCAGGCATCCGTGGACGCCCTAAAATTATTATCTGGTGGCTGGTGCTTAAAATAGAAATAGTAATTAGTAATAGTGTTAGGAAATAACAAATCACAATATAAAGCTCTTTATTCACTATCATACATTTTAATGTAAGCGCACGCATGATCTTCGTGAAATTTTGTGTTGTAGGGAGTCCAACCCTACCATTGGACTACTCAGCCGCGCAGTTTTAACACATAGTTAATTGTAAACGTTACAAAGCACATCGTGCGCATCCCACTACAGGTAATCTATTATGATTTGCCTCGATTTGAGGGTCCAGGACCCTTTGCAGTTTGAACTATTGACTGCTATGATCCCAGTGACATAAAGTGAGGAATCTAAGAATCTAATTCCTAGCCATATTAATTTCCATAGCCACGCCGACTAATTTTTGTCAACAAAATTATTAAATCAACTTTAAAATAGTCGCTCTCGGTTGTTACACACTGTAACGCCGCGCACTGTACTTTAATTCTATATTTATCCGAGAAGATGTTCGAATCGAGCGCAAATGCCAGATTCCTGCAGATTCCTAGTTCTTGCGCTTAACTTGCGCGTTACCAAATAATCCAAGATATTCCTGTCAGGATCCAAGATTTTCCTACTACCAGTATGGTAGTATGGACTGTTTGGTAGTATGGTAGTATGGTAGTTGCAGGAACGCGCGAAGACCTATATGTAAATATTACAAAAGTGTACATGGAATCGTAGCCTGGTTGGTTAATCCGTCGGTACTACATTAGCAGATCGCGAGTTCGAGACCCGGAAAGGAATTCTTTCACAATCTTTTGGCAATTATGAATAACTATACTAATGAATTAATAACTATACTAATGAATAACTAAACCTCTGTAATATAACTAGCAAAGTAAAATGAAATTGTTATCCGGCCGCGGAGCGGCCGAAAAATTTATGGTAGTCGTTTTAAAAATATATGGTAGCCGTTTTTTCTTTCCAGACTGGATTCCTAGTCCCTTTTTAAATTTATGTCACTGGGGCTATGATACTGCGCGTAGGGTGAGAATCCCTGCCACGTTTTTGGTCTGTTTCGCCGGGGCTCATGTCTTTCCTCGAGGGAGCATTAGTGTCTACAGAAAAACTGACAAATCCTAGCGAAGTCCAATCCGAACCACATCTTCCATCAGAGGTGGTGCTGGGTCAGCTGGTTACTGAACGGATTGGCCTGGAGAATGGCATAGTCCTGTTACTCTCAAGTTAACCATAGAGGGGGTCAGGCGCTGTTCGCTCACCGCTGGTTCTTGGAGCCAACACCCTCAGCCCCACAGAAGTGGGAGCACTGTCAGTGGTGGCTCACCCAGATAACGGACAGTGTCTCTCTTTCTTTCTTCTTGGACTTGCATTGTTGCTGGCGAGTCAGCCAGTAGCAATGCAGCATCTCACTCACTCAATCACCTCAGCAGTTCGGTCCCTTTTTTCATTGCATTACTTTCGCTCCAGGATAGCACTGTCCTGTCATCCCCAAGCTAACTATCGAGGTAGGGGGTCGGATGCCATCCGTCTCACCTGGTTCTTGACCTGTCGCCCTCAGACCTACAGAGGTTGGGTGTACTGTCGGTGGCCTGTCACCCAGGTTGACGGTGGTATCTCTCCCTCTGCCTCCCTTTGGACATGCATTGTTGCTGGTGAGTCAGCTGGCAGCAGTGTATCATACTATTGCGTGTTTACTAATCCCCTCTTAGCTTTCAGGCTAAACTAAAATTATAAACTAACAGAAGCAGGATAGAAGCAAGAAATCATCAGTAGCCCCTCAACTTAACGAAGACTGATATCAACCGCTCTGGTACAAGCAACTCTGATAAAGTACGACACTGCTGCTTCTCTGGGAAGTCAGCACCAACAGAAATGGGGACACTCTCTGATATGAGTGCTGGAATTCTCAGCCGTTTTACTCTACAGGCTAAGTTTCTTGTTATAATTCTATTGCTCTGTTCTTTCATTTGTATTCTGTCTCACTCTACTGCATATTGTAGATCGTCAGCATTCATAGAACCAGGGTCTCAGTTACAGTCCTTCTGTTTGTTGACTAGACACACTTTTTGCATCATCTTTCGGTTTTTGACGGCGTTTAGAACACTTCTTGTTTTCTCGATCGTTACTTGCCTCCGTATTGGCTGCTAAACTAAATTTATAAACTAACATTCGTTCCACCCCCTTGTGTGTATACTAACACCCCTAGATTCCCAGGAACAGGCATAAATATCTACGGAAATCAAAGCCAAACAGACAGACAGCTACTCAGCCACGATGCAGGACAACAGATACTGCTCTGAACCAAGGATAAGTCTGATGGATACAGTCTCCCTAGACATTCGCACAGATTACAAGAATGCCAACATCAGACATCACGTCTCTTATTAAGACAAAGCTCAACTCTCTATCCAAGTTCCTGAAATTAGAGTTGTCTAACTGAGATTCGCAGTCAGACATGCAGTATACCCCCCTCGACCAACCCAGCTACTAATCCGTGTCTACAGGCAAGAAATTGATCTAGTCATTTGTAATATAACATGAAATATTATATACCTATTGAAATTCTCATCCTCCACATCATACAAAAGAGAACGGCCCATGGCCATACACCACATATCAAAGAGAAAGGCCTCCGGCCAGACATATCAGACCTAACATGATCTATTTTCCTTAAAAGCCCATGTTTATATAAAGTTTTAGCGTGTAAAATTGATTCACTTTACTTACTTGTTTATAAATTTTACCTCGAACCATGCTTTCACAGAATTAAAATATTACCACACGACAGGGCGACAGTTTTCCAAAACTGGTTACATTCTTCCCTCAAGGCGCAGCTCCTACACCTGGTAAATTCCACTCTAATAGCACAACCTCTCAAACAGACTCACCGAAGTAATCTTCAGCCATCAAATGCGAAGGGACTATAGCACCGCTGTCAAACCTGATCATGTTACAAGGCATGACTTTTCTGCCACTACTTCATCATTATAGATTAGTGATTACTTAGTGTGTAGATGAAACGATATGAGTGTAGCACACACTGGCTTATCAATGAATGATTGATTCATCCTATCAGCGTTATCTTGATTCGAATTGAGACTGCTATATTAAATTTTTCCTATATTTAACGTAACGCGCGAACGCCATTTGAGCACAGTATGTGCTAATGATCTCGCTGTCAATCCTTTAATACGTTTTGCGCGCTGCGCTAGCTACTCTGGTAGCGCGCATGGCGGGTAATTTTATTATCTATTGTTTCAACTTTTTATTCAGTTTTATTCATTTAAACGATGTTAATCATTTGAAACGACTTTACTAGAATTTGTCAACGAAGAAGAACTCTAAATTGTTACCACAGCAACCATTCAATGTTGCCATAGAAACTACACACTCTTAACATAGCAACCACACACGGTTACCGTAGCAACTCCAAATCACTATCTAGCTACTAAACACTGCTACCATAGTAACTACATACTGATACTATAGCAACTACACACTGTTACCATAGCAACTACACACTGATACCATAGCAACTACACACTGTTACCATGGCTACTACACACTGTTACCATAGCAACTCACCATAGCAACTACACACTGTTACCATAGTAACCACACACCGTTACCAGGAACGAGAGCGAGGGTCGACAAGGGGCTATTGCGATGCAATCTGGACAAGAGTCCAGGCTGGCTCCCTTAGATCCAACCTCTCGGTACTGGAAACGATACATTTTCTAATCCTGATAACCCATCTCCAAGTTACAGTCATACAATAAAAGTACAATCTCATCGAACTCACATCTCTTGAGTTAAGCGCAAAGCGTCACTATGCATATAGTCTGGACTGGTACCTCAGACGCTAACGTGAAACTTACAGAGTATATAGGATATAACAACTTACTCTGGCGTAAGGAGTCGATACGGAGCTATTGCGATGCAATCCAGGCAAGTGTCTGGTCTGGCTCCTAAAAACTCCAAACGCTCGGGCGAGCGGCATGGCAACTCTGATTCTTTATAAATAATTATCTTACCAAACATACAGTACGCAAAACGAACGCAGATTTCAATTCTTATATAGCGAAATAGCCGAAGTGCGCGGAGGCCGGGGAGAGGGGCTAGCTCCGGCGCGCGCGCCGGGATAGCACCCCAACACGGCAACGCGCAGCAGAGTAGTGGGGTCGGCCACACTACCGAATACACGTGAAGCCAACCCGGGGTTTATTACCCGCACGGCTATATTATTATGCGCAGTTGAAACCTGGGGGCTCGCCGACCAGGTTCACCGGGTGGAAACTGAAGGCATATATGACTCCCATATCTGAAAGCAGGTTGGGGGCACTACGGAAAGCTTAGAAGCTTCCGTCACCTACTAATTACTAACTAACTATGATACTGCGCGGCTAAGATCGTACACATGTGGTGTCCTGTTTCAACCATGTTATAAAATTTTGTTTTTGTTTGCTGTCGCCTGTAAAGTGTTACACATTACATATAACAAGGCCCTGTGTGTAATGTAATCGGTAGTTTGGAGGGATCAGCTTGAGCCGGCTCCCAAGCCCCCCTCCCCCCCAGTCCATCGATTGGACCCCCAACAAAACTGCCAGCCAGCTCCCACGAGCCGCCTCTGGACTGAGAGGACGACCCCGCAAAGGCTGGATGGCCTGTGTACTCAAGGATGCGACTGAATTTACAGGTGTCGATAACATCAGCAGAGATGCAGTAAAACAGTTGGCTCTTAAGCGAGTGGAATGGAGGAACATGTTACGCCGTAGAAGAGATGTGTGTGATGCAGGCCACTCCAACGACTAGGAGGAGACCTCTTCATGTAGCATGTATGTATGTAGCATGTATGTACCTGGTTTAAGAACTTCTTATCTTGTAGATATCAATGCACTAGGATCAATGGCAAACTAAGCTCATTTTTAGAAGTTCTGAGTGGTGTACCACAAGGAAGCATCATTGGGCCTATATTATTTAGTATCTTCATAAATGACATCATTTATGCCTGTAACCGATCTAAGCCCTTTCTATTTGCAGATGATGGTGCACTATTCTTTGATCAAACCTGCAGAAGCACATTTATAAACATGAAAATAGAACTTATGACAATCTTTAAATGGCTCAGTGTTAATAAATTATCAGTCAATGAAAAGAAGACTGAATTCCTATTGTTTGATTCTGTTGATCAACATGATGAATTAACCATTGGATGTAATGAGGTAACTTTCACAATCAAGGAGTGCAAAGAGACAAAATATCTTGGCCTCATTCTAGATAGTAAATTAAACTTCAAAAGCCATGTAGATTATATTATTAGGAAGGTCATGAAGAGAATTGGTGCCATGTATAGAAGTAAAGCACTGCTACCCATTAAATATAGGAAAATGTTTGCCAATGCACTCATGTTGCCACAATTCGATTATTTAGACACGATCTATTGTAGAGCTGGCAAGACAAAACTTGCTGAACTTGAAACTCTGTACAAAAAGGTAGCCAAAATAGCTCTCAACGTTCCACAAACAGAGAGCAGCCTTAATGTTTTATATAGAGACATGAAATGGTTACCACTCCATCTTAGACGACAACTCCATCTGTCAAATTATATGTTTAGAATCATCCATGACAATTGTCCTACAAACTTTATGAACAAATTTAGTTACATATCAGGAGGTAGTAGGAGCGGCAAAAGCTGCAACCTATATGTTAATAGATCAACATCACATAAAAACTTTCAATACTTGGGGGCAAAATGTTGGAATAATGTTCCAACAGATCTACGAAATCTGCCCGATGTTAAAAGCTTTAGTGATTCGTATAAGAAACAGCTACTCTCATCTATAACAACAGACCCTAATTATACCGTTGACAATTCATATGACAAATTTTACACTGCAATCATAGTCGACGATAACTAAGTATCTTCTTTAGAAGATACTTAGTTATCGTCGACTATGATTGCAGTGTAAAATTTGTCATATGAATTGTCGACGGTATAATTTAAAAGAATTAGAATTCTTTTAAATCTGAGGCATATATAATTGATGTATCGAAAGGATATTCCCTTTTTTACCACCTTACCATTCTGATTGATTTTTCACATGACTGACATGTTTTAACTGGAGAAGGGGTTCGCACAGTGGTAGTTTTATAAACCACTTTTAATTTATTGACCTATTATACCTAGTGGTAGTTTTATAGACCACTTTTAATTTATTAACTTATTATACTTAGTATTTATTTTTGGTGACTGTATCACCCAGTTTTAACATTTGATAATTGTACAGTTTATTGACGACACATTGACTGAATGTTATTTTATATTCTAATCTATATTCTAGATATTTTATTTATTTTTCAACAGAGGACAACTTCCTGTTTTTTTCTTCTATATTAGTTACTCATATATCTTGTACAGACTGTTTTACAAGGACATTGACAGACGATACTCACATTAGGCATTCATTATTGCATCTAAATTATTTCACTTGCATTAGGTTTAGAAATTTATTCTCTGGTTAACAGATTTCAAATGTTTAATTAATTTGTAGTATGACAGTAAGGTATATAAGAAGTTATTTAATTGTGCTTGGACTATTATATTGACTATTGAGGTTTAATGATGATATGGAATTTGAATTTTATATAAATTTACACTATGTGGTTGGGGCATTTTGCATAGTAAATATGGTTACTACTCCTATATATCATATTGTTTGATTGGTATTCGATTTCTGATTATTTCCCTAGGAATATGATTATTATATCTCAATTTGGCTTTAGGTAGGGTGCCCCGCTAAATGAACTGGATTCTTCCAGGAAGCATCCCGTGCACAGAGCTTGGTCTACATATATATTAAATTATTAACCATTCATTCTGTATGTGCACGAAAATTTATTTCAATCAAAAAGCATTCATATGTTATAACTAATTGCTTGATTTTGCACCAAGTTGACGTGCACCGACCAAAATTTAGCGATGAATCCAGAAAATATAACTTTAATAGGTTGTAGGTAAATTGTTCTGTTTAATATGTTTTAGGAATGTACAGTATTTACTATAAAAGTTTGTCGTCGTATAAACTAATTTTGTTATGAATTTTGTTGTGACTTTTTTGTATCGAATTTTTGGATAAAGTTGATTAATTAAAAATAAATTAATGTACACAAATTTTGCCTTAGATATATGTTTTTTACGTTTTGAATTTTTGACACTTGTTTTTAGATCATGAATACGATGTAGTCACATTGAAACGTTGAGTAAACTCCTTTCCCTAATAAGAGCATTTTCACTTGTCGCAACAACCGGGATAAAGATAATTTTACACAGAATACATATAAAGCTTTAATAAGACCTTATCTAGAGTATTGACTATTGTGTCCAATTGTGGAATCCAGTTGTGGCTCATGGAAGTTGGGGGATTGTTTTGGAGCTGGAGAGCGTCCAGAGGCGGTTTACCCGTCTTATTGATGAGGTGGGTACTCTTCCTTGCAGCCGTAGACTGGAAATTCTCAATTTGACAACGCTGGCAGAGCGGCGAATACATGGGGACCTTATTGAAGCTTTTAAGGTTATTAATGGTTTTACCGATTACGGGTCAGATTTGTTTAAAGTGAGCAGATCTGGTCTTAATCTTGTATCATCCAACAGATGTTGTAAGAGTATGGCAAAGATTAGGAAAGTTCATTTCTTCCAGAGCGAGTTATTCCTTACTGGAACAAACTCCCTCCAGATGTTAAGAACTCAGTGACTGTTTTAGGTTTTAAGATTAAATTAGAAGGGTTTAAGAAAGATATGATTTCCAAGGATATTTCTAATGATTCACATTTTCGGAATGTTTCAAACGAAGTATTAGGGAGAATTGAAGGACCTAGCTATGCATATGTTAGTAATAAAGAGAATCATAATGATTATCTTTATTTCCACCCTTTTGTAGCAAAAAAGCGATTTGTAAATCTTCATTCCACTGGGAAGTATGAATAGGGTTGTCTTTTGGGGATGCTTTTTGAATTTATTTGAAAAATTTTTAATAAAGTTACATAGTTAATAATTTATTAATTTTGGTGGTAAGATATTTATATTTTTCCATATAGTGATTTGATACTTTATAGACATGTGTGATGATGTTATGTCATAATTTTTTCCATTTCACCCTTTTGTAAAAAGGCAATAGAGAAAGGTTACGAATGGTCGTTTTTGCAGAAAAACGTGGATTTTGGAGATTGAGGTAGGTGGGTCAAATATATGTCGTGTTCCTTCCGTTGTACGTATGTTACCAAGCAACGAAAAATTTGCGCGCGCGCGAGGATTGCTTGCGGAGATTTGGTGTATAGATAGCCTGTGATCTATGAATGCGCGGCGCGACTGTGTTTTAATGTAGACAATGTAATGTATAATATTAGGTTATAAGCCCAATTTGTACGTGGCACGCGTAGTGTATTGATGTGTACACAAGTATAGTTTACCTTTGCTTACAATTTCTTGAATTACAGATGCAAGTTAAGTTCTACAGCAATTGAACTGAATTACCCGTATTTAATGCATAATTTATCAATATTATTATCATGAAGATTGAAGTGAGCTGATTGGAGGTTATACTTAAATTTATAGTAAATGTGGAATGGAAATCTAGCGTCCGCCAAAACGAAACAACGGGCGCAATTCTTGTTACTTTACTTTACTTTACTTTAGACATTTTTCCAAAATTTTGAGGGAAGGGAAGAGGTACTGGGTAGGGTTAATCAGGGTTTCACTGTGTGAAATTATAACTGATCAGAGTATGCAGTGGATGGAAATCTAGCATTTGCCCCCTGTCGAGAAAACAGGTGCAATTCTTGTTGATAATACAATTCATCGATGATTATGCTTTAACTTTGTAGTATTTAAACAAAGATATTTTGTATAATTATTGGATAGCAGCAAATTGTGTAGTGTGTACTGAGTGCTCTGCCAATTGCACCACACGATTTGATTTTGCAGATCAAATTATAAACAGCAGCAATATTTATAGTTCATAATAGACTACAGGAACACAGTATGCAATGTCAAAACAGCTTAAGGAATACGATCTCATTTTGAAGTTGCTTCTTGTTGGTGACAGTAGTGAGTATTATGCTTTTTAATTCGAAAATTTCATATGGAAAAGAACATGTAATTGCTTGTAGAACTTAGAATGAAACTCAAAAAAGGTAAATCTCGACTTTTGGAAAAGACAGGCCACGCCCAGGACTTAATTTTCCTTAGGTGAATATACTTTCTAAAAATGTGATTTTTAATGAATTTGAGGTATTTCAAGAACAAAGGCAAAATTTAAAAGTCTGTTACATAACAATTTTGGGTATTTACCCAAGGAACACCTGTGTCAGATGCCAAGTCAGTTTTAAGTTTTTTTTTTCTCTTATTTGTTCGTTTCCAACCTTTATGTACTACTACTGTACTACTACTATGTATTATAATAAGAATCAGGGATTTAAATCTTGAAGACCGAAAATATTTTAAAATATTTCAGGTGTTGGGAAAAGTTGCATTATGTTGCGATATTCTGATGACCTCTATACTGGTAAGGAATAAGGTAAATATACAAATCACGTTCCTTTCATTACTAAGGCATCATTAAGTACAACTAGTCACATCTCTATTATTTATATGATTTACACATGTATGCTAGGTCCTTGATTAAAATTAAAATTAAAACGTTGCAATTTATCGATACTAGCAGGAACCCGTATATAACTCTAAAAGACTCAAGAGACTAAAATAATTATTACCTATTTAATTCTCGTTTTTGACATCACTCGGGAGTCCAAATTTTGGGCTCTAAAGCTCCTATTTCTTGGCCAATTTTTTATTTTCTCATGCTGATTTGAAGGCCATTAAAGCATTTGACCCAGTCAAAAACGTTTCAGTTGTATATCTTTTACGGTTTTTGCGGAAATTCGCGTTAAAGTTGATGCCGTGGTGTCAGTAAAATGGCACGGATCCATATATATCGTCTCGCTTTATATATACTAGCAGGAACCCGTATAACCCTAAAATGGTGTCAAGACTCAAGAGACTAAAATATTTATTACCTATTTAATTCGCGTTTTTGACACCGCTTGGGGTACCAAATGCAAATTTTGGGCTCTAAAACTCCCATTTTTTGGCCAATTTTTAATTTTTTCATGCTGATTTGGGGGCCATTAAAACATTTGACCCAGTCAAAAAAGTTTCAGTTGTATATCTGTTACGGTTTTTGTGGAAATTTGCGTTAAAATTGATGCCGTGGTGTCAGTAAAATGGCACGGATAAATATATATCGTCTCGCTTTATATATAGTAAGATTTATCGATATAATAGTCGTTGTATTTATCGTTAGTTTTTAATTCAGAAATTTGATGAATTTAAGGGATTATTTTATATGTTGTTACAATGTTAAAATTCTACAGGTACCTACATATCAACAATTGGAGTTGATTTTAAAGTAAAGACAGTTCAACAGGATGGATTGACAGTTAAACTTATGATCTGGGATACTGCCGGGCAGGAGAAATTTAGGTAAACCACAGAGCTTAATATAATTGAAGACATCATCGGACCGCGGAAGTGGATGAATTATAATGTGTACAGTGTACAGCAGAACACTTACAATTATATGGTATATATAGTACATAATATACAGGGTGGCCCATAAGTGACTACCCACACGCAACCTCTTAATAACTCACGTAATTCGTCTCCAAATTGCACCAAAATTTCAGAGATTATAGATATGGGTCAAACTTAGATTTCCTGAAAGTTTCGTAAGCCACGCCCAATTACAGTGGGCGTGGCGTGACACTCCCTCTTTTTCATTATTGTCTTCATAAAATGAGAACGCTTTAAGCTAAGAACTCAAAATTTTTTGCACACATTTGGCTTGATAATTGAAAACTTTTCCAAACGTTTCAAGTTCATTGGTTAAAATATGGCTGAGTTATGACCATTTTAAAATCCATCGGATATGTGATCCGAGCACTCAGTCAGTGATATTTGCACTCAATTAGTGATCTCGTCACCCAATCTGATCAAGAGTAAGGCGTTAGCGTGTATTAATGAGGTTCATTAGGCTTTGATTGGATACCGATGATGTATAGAAAGGAAAACACAAATTTTTAGGATAAATCAATAAATGAAATCAACTAATAAAAATTCCCACACAAAAACAATTCAATAATTTCAATTAAGATGTTCAAGGAATGTGTTGGCGAAATCTATCCTCGATTGGAAAGCACGGTCCAAAAGTTTGTGTTTCTTTGTGATTCGGTAGGCCCGGTTAGAAAGGTCTTGCTTTAGGATTCGCTGAAGGGTTGTTCTGCTGAGGTCTAAGGCAGGAGCTCGTTTCCGGGTGCGAATCTTAGGTGTGTCCATCACGTCACCAACAACCATCGTGATGTTTTCTACAGTCCTCGCAGTTCGTCTTCTGCCGACTCTTCGCCGATCGTGTGCAGAAAACGTAAACTTGATCTTGTGATGAATGTCAAAGCAGCTTTTCCGGCAAGGGGGTGGTCGGTTGAATTTCATCTGAAATTGTCGTTTAATCTGAGGGTAGAACTCCCCATTTTCTTTCTTCAGGTAGACGAACAATCGTTGTTCTGCAGTAAAGGGAGGATAGTGAACCATTTTTATTGATTGTAAGGAACCTGTGACTAGCAGGGCTAACAAGCCCTGAAATGGTGACACCACCATAAATTCGTGTGATAGCGTTTTAGGTGCTGTCAGCTGTATAGGCCGGCCCATAAGCAGGCTGCAACCAATCAAGCGGTGCATGTGAGCCAAACAGGCCATTAACCAAGTGACGAGATCACTGACTGAGTGCTCGGATCACGTATCCGATGAGTTTTGAAATGGTCATAACTTAGCCATATTTTAACCAATGAACTTGAAACTTTGGGAAAGGTTTTCAATTATCAAGCCAAATGTGTGCAAAAAATTTGGAGTTCTTAGCTTAAAGCGTTTTCATTTTATAAAGACAATAGTGAAAAAGAGGGAGTGTCACGCCACGCCCACTGTAATTGGGCGTGGCTTACGAAACTTTCAGGAAATCTAAGTTTGACCCATATCTATAATCTCTGAAATTTTGGTGCAATTTGGAGACGAATTACGTGAGTTATTAAGAGGTTGCGTGTGGGTAGTCACTTATGGGCCACCCTGTAGTATAGTGTACATAAAATATGATATATATAGTGTATTATAAATATATTCCCGTCACAATTCCTCTGTTAAATTGCGTTATCATACAGTCTATATTGCACTATCAATTGGTTTATTTTAATTGAGTGTTAGAATACGTGGAGCTCACATAATTAGTTCCACTTGACTGGATGTCTTTTTTTGTGACACGTGAACAGCCAAACGGCTTGATACATTACCTTTCCCACTAAACTTAGAAACAAAATAAAGATTTGATTGGATATTAAAGGAATAGCAGATAATATTGACAGAAAGTCTTGGAAAGAAAAAACCATATTTGAAGCCATATAATATCGGGATAAAAGTGGCAACCTTGGTAACTGGTTATTAGACCGAAGAAAACCATGAAAATAGCATTTACTCCCTTGATAATATGATAATAATGCCTACCGCGACCGTGACATGTGCTGTGCGCCATGTGGTCTAATGTATTTAAAGTACAACACAGTACAAAAGTTCAGTTCAGAATCATCCGCCCCATCAATTTACCGTTCTTAAAATTACCAGCGAGGATGATCCGTGCTGCAAACCTGAGTCTACTATGACAACTACGATCTGACAGAAAACTTAAAAACATGTACTTTATGTACTGACTACTTATAGTGACTACTGTTATGTTATGTATGCTCTGTAATTTACTACTAGGTACAATGTACATGTATGTAGGTACTAGGTATGTATCTTGACATACCGACTGAGACCAACACAGATAACATCATGTTACACTCACAGTGTCACACTCACACCGTCACACTCTGGCACACTGTTACCGTCACACCCAGTCACAGTGTCACACTCACAGTGTCACACTCACAGTGTCACACTCACAGTGTCACACTCACAGTGTCACACTCACAGTGTCACACTCACAGTGTCACACTCACAGTGTCACACTCACAGTGTCACACTCACAGTGTCACACTCACAGTGTCACAATCACACTCACACCGTCACACTCTGTCACACTGTTACACCGTCACACTCTGTCACAGTGTCACACTCATACGGCACACCGTCAACAGTGTCACACTCTGTCATAGTGTCACCGTCACACTATGTCATACTCACACTCTGTTACACTGTTACACTCACTAAATTTCACACTGACTATTTCTACCAAACAACTAAAAATTTCACTCAAAGATCGATAACAGCGAGCTACTACCGTGACGCTCATGCTGTAATGGTGGTATACGACACGACCCGACCTTCTACATTTGACCATGTCCACAAGTGGCTCATCGAAATTGAGAGTGCCTGCCAGGATATTGTCAAGATTCTAGGTCGGGGGAGGCGCTGAGTTTGTTGTTGATCGAAGCAGGGAGGCGCTGAGTGTGATTGGAGCATTTTATTTCTGCGTTGAAAAAATATGCAGTGCATCTTAATTGGTTAATTAAACGATGCTTAAAGTAGGGTTATGCAATATAAATTTAGTTGTGTTCCATGTTTCAAAATTTTTGGGGGTAAAATTCTACTAATTATTCCAAAAAAATATGTAATACAATAATCTTGGCCTGCCCTAACATTAAGGAAGCAAAATGAAAATATGGTGAATCCCACTTGCACTTGTTAAACCAATAAGTCACCTAAGTAAAAGAAAGGTCTCACCAATTTTTGTTTTGGTAAAGTCTCTACTATAAGTTTCTTAGGCTCAAATCTCTAGAATTAATATCATCTCTAGAATTAATATCAGATAATAATGCATAAAATATAAATATATCCAGTAATATTGTACATTTAAACGCTGCATAATTTATTCAATGTTTTAAATTTTCATTAATTGCCAAACTTTGCCTAAATTGTGGCGTGATGTCCTCATCAAATGTAATCAAGTGAAATAAGATAGCGTTTAGGGCCTTACAATGAGTCCTTGATAGCACAAACACGGAGAAGTCAGAGTGTACCAGAGTGTATTGTGTGTACATAACAGAGTGTATTGTGTTATTACCAGAGTGTATTGTTTTATTACCAGAGTGTATTGTGTGTACATACCAGAGTGTATTGTGTTTACATACCAGAGTGTATTTTATTTAATACCAGAATGTATTGTGTTTACATACCAGAGTGTATTTTATTTAATACCAGAGTGTATTGTGTTTACATACCAGACATTCAGAGTGTGTACTGCACATACATTTCAATTAGCATTACTTATCTCCGGGCCACATACCATTGGGTGGGCAGCTATGTGTCACCACTGTAATATCGCAACATCATGGAACATGTACTCTAGTATTTGCTGCATCCCACATAGTTGCGTGTATAAGTGCAGATCACCCTGCCCTAGCAGCTCTGGTTTATAATAAAGTTACACACTCAGTACATACTTTGTCTATATAGGAAGCTGATTATTATTATATATAGCCTGCAGTTATATTAACAATGTTGTGTGAAACTTTCCAACACTCGTTATATATATAAAACATTAAAGAAGTTGTGTTTTCCATGTGTTTTCAGCACAAAGCTTGAAATGTAGATTGTAGCTCTTGGTATAAATAGTTTCACTAAAGATTTAGTGTGCATTTTTTCCCTCAATACTAATGTTATGCTAATGATTTCAGTTGGTAACAAGGCTGACTCACCACTAAGAAAAGTGAGCAGCGAGAAAGGAGAGGAGTGTGCTGATCAATACAGCCTGCCATTCTATGAAACCAGTGCTAAACTCAACCTCAACATTACTGAGGTATGTGTTATTGGAGCGTCACTAAACTTAACATTTGGACTAAATTGGGAGTAGACATTTACTCAGATTTCTTAAATTGAATTCACTTGACCAACCCCTGTTGCATGTTAATAAAATTCAGACTTATCAGCCTCGTCAGGTATTATTAAATCTAACCTTAAAAAGCACTTGCTATCCCTCCAAAATCGAGGTGACCCTAATATATGGTAACTAATCTATATTATATCTCAAATTCTACATCCGGTACGGCTCTGCACACATGATATCTCTCTCTGCCATGAAACATGGCTAACCTTTCAAACTTTGATTTAAAACATAAACCTAAACTAAAACTCAACTGGGCTCTCCTATGTCACCAAACTAGACCAATAAGCAATTTTAGCTTAGATAATTATATTTTTCTATATTTGTATAATAAGTATATTGACGTAGTGGATGGTTGAGGGGGTTTCAAGCACAGGTCACTCTCAAATCCTAAAGATAAGCAGTGGCCTTCGGCACTTGAAACCTCTTCAAACCTCCCCTGATTTATTTATTATTGATATTGTTTGATTGTGCCGTAAAAATAAATATTTGTTTTATTAAATATTTGTTTTGTTAATAGGTGGTATGATTAACTTTCTTTTGACTTCCTAGTTCTTCTTCCATGTTTCTAGTTTCTACATCACCCTTTATTTATATTTCATTTAAGTGTACACTGTACGTGTATGTAAACTCTTAAATGTTTACTCTATATTAGTGTCGAATTACCCTAAGTTAGCTTCGGTTCCATGGGCAAATAATACAGTGACACAATTTGCCCAAATTTTATTTGCGAAATAAAATGGGCAAATAATTTGCACACAGTAATCGATACGTGTATTGGTGGTGTCGGGCAGGATCAGGACTGCAGCCACTCTAGTTTTAATTAGGATACACAAACACAAACACAAACTTGGGTGCGGCCGCGGGACAACAAAATGCAATTATAATATCGATTACGACCGCAGGGAGTATATTATTTGAGTGAGAAAAATTTAATACGTGAGCACGTTCACAAATTTTTTAACTGAAATATTTCAGTGAATCGAAAAGAGAGCCAAAAATTCGGGAAAATTTTATTTGAGTGAAAAATTTGAGTGAAAATTTGCACATGGAACTAGAGGTTAAGAGCAAGGCGAGGCTATGTTTTCTGTTATTGTTTTACTAGTTAATTTTATTTTATTTTATAGCTGTGTTTTCTTATAATATCACATCTTGTTAGTTCTTAAGATGAATTTTTTAAATTTTAGCTTAACATTGTCAAGCTTTGTAGTAGTTAATGATATTTTCTTGATTTACTTTACAGCTCACTATGTATAATATGTAATCAGGGTGACAAGCTTGAAACTGGTTGAAGGGGGTTCGTAGTCCCCCAGCATAGCAAACTTGTACTTCATTTCTTAATGTTCTAGGAAACCCTTGGATATTTAATAAATGTCCCAACTACTGTAAATTAAATACCAAGTCATGTATCAAAACACACTGAGCTACATATTTGTGCGAAGAATTTTGAGTTTCGAATTTCTGTTTTTCGTAAGATGACACTGCTGAATGCCGATGTGTTGGTGATATCAGTTGTTAGGTGACAAAACATAGTTGTTCTCTTTGACCAAAACTTACAAAATATTCTAGTATGACTTTATCATTAAAATTTATGCTTCGTGTACAGTGTATACCGACAAAAGTGTAAAAGTAGTTAATTAGTTTCGGTATACTCTAATGGAATGTTACTTACACAGGCGTTCACAGACCTAGTCGATCAAGCGTTGGAAAAGAAGCGGGCTGTGGAAGAAGCTTCTCGACCAAGAGGAGATACTATCACAGTACAGAAGGAGAAGAAGAAACAGAGCAAAGAATGCAGTTGTAAAAAATAGTTTTGAGAATTCTCGTTGTGAAGATAAATATTTTCATAGTAGTGTTTTGTAACCAGTAATAATGTTAAAGTCGAGATTATAAATGAGTTGAGAATGTTTTAAACAATACAGAAATAATATTACAAATACAATGCTCTTCTTTTTAAAATATAGCTACATATTATTCGAAATTAAGCTCAATCTTTAAACAAGCTTCCAAAAGATCGCTGCTACTATCCTTACAGCGAGATAGATGTTCGTTACAAACGGGAAATAGTCTTAAAGACAAAACTTATGAAACTCCGATTTCTTTACATTGCCGAAACGAATGACGCCAATAGTTTCTTTTATCTTTACCCTCAAATAGGAAATGTCGCTTGCTAAAGGATAGTTATAGACTTGAAGGTTATCAAAAAGAAAAGAAGAAAAGAAAGGAGAGAAAGCAGTAGGCCGGCTCAACAGTGAGTACAGAAAGGAGATGCCGAACGATTACGATCATTTATTTAAACTGCTGATTATCGGAGACAGTGGTGTAGGGAAAAGCAGTATTCTCCTCAGATTCTCCGATAATCTCTTCTCGGGTAAGTCTTGTAAACTTCCGCAGGACGGCAGTTATTTCTCAGTTAAATTCGGTGTGAATACTAAGCTGCTTCTAGAAAAACAGAAAATTGTATGCTTCTTAGTAAAACATTGTAATGTTAAATATTGAAGTAGCAGTTATAGAATCTATTTACAGGAACATACATCACAACTATTGGAGTAGATTTCAAGATCAGAACAATTGAAGTAGAGGGAGAGAAGGTCAAACTCCAAATATGGGACACAGCAGGACAGGAACGGTTCAGGTATGTTGAGTATTGGGTTTACACATTCCTGGGGTATACATTCATAATATTTTAATAGTGTCCCTCGAAATTAACGTTTACATTTGCCCCTAATGTTATCACTGACTTATTTAAGTTGTAAAGTACCTCAATTTGAGCAGTCTACTAAATATTGTTAAGCAATGTGCTGGTGTGTCTGTACTCTATGCGGCTACATTATTGGTGTATTGGAGTGTAAGCAGTGTTCTGTGCTCGTAGTTAATAGAGCTGTGGCATTTTCTGTCCATTGTATTGATTTTACAAGATCTTTGGTGCACTGTGCACTGTGCACTGTGCACTGTCATTGTTCTGTGAGAAATGTAACAATAAAATTTCATGAGCTGTGATTTATTTTCAAGACATGCGAATGTTTCTAAAATATTTTAAATTTTACGGCTCAAAGATAACAATCATGTTAATAATTATATAATGATGATATATAAGTCTTTTGATATTATTGGTTCAATGATGTACATTGTTTATCCACTTACTCGATGTAGATATACGAATGTGTGCTAATAATAACAATTAAGGATAAACAAGGCGATCTTTTTATAATCTAACTTGGTAACACAGATTATCATTTATAGCCTAACCGCAGCTGCGTGTTGGCAAGGCAGCATTATAATAACGAGATTCACCGTTTCAACTTGATTATTCTAAAATTGTACTTAAGGTTTCCTTTCCAGAAACTAAAATCGCCAACCTCATACGCTGTTTTTTAAAACCGTGTAATCTCACCTGTTTGCGTCTATGTAGGTTAAAAGTCAGTATGTGATCGACTAATATCATGCAATCCGCTAAAACTATGTTCTGCTAAATAGAAAGCTATTATTTTTAGCCTACACAGTATACACTATAGCTGTGTAAAAACATAACCCCTAATACAAGGTAGCTTTAAGAATGTGATTACTTTTGGAACGATCACATTCTAAAGGCCACCTGGCAACTTTCAATATACTCAACTCTCCTCAGGACGATCACTGCTACCTACTATCGTGGAACACAAGGAGTGATGGTAGTGTACGACGTTTCTAACCTGGACACGTTCGGTAACGTTCGCCGCTGGCTTCAGGAAATCGAACAGAACTGTGACGATGTCGTCAGAATACTTGGTAAGTCACCTCCGGACGGCATAGTTATGTGCATATTTAAAACTTGAGAGTTTTGCTCGCTAATGTAGTGAATGATGCACTGTACTCTAGTAGCAGAGTGATGTGATGATGGAAACTGGTGATCTCATGTCTGCTCAACGTAACTGTCTACGTAATGCTCTCGTGATACGAAATATGTACATTAGCTCCTAATAGTTGCTTAGTTTCACGGAACTGATCGAACTGGTTGAGTGAAGAAAATATTATCATCCTTGTTGAGCTGGCTATTACGTCATGTGGAATCTAATATTTAGATTTAGTTTCTGAGATCACCGGAAAATAACGCCCTCTTCCCATAAGTTATTTTTATGTAACAGTAGTAATCTATGTGTTATTTCTATGTGTAATTTGATTGCGGGTATTAGTACTTTATAATGTACTCAGGGGCCGATTTATTCTATCAAAACCACAGATTACCACAGATTACTGCTAAATAGAGTAAGTTTCAATACTGACTTCAGTTTAACCCTCTTCAGTTGGAAACAAGTGTGATTCTCCAGACAAGAAAGTGTCTACTGACGAGGGGAAAGCTCTTGCTAGTCAAATGGACATTCCTTTCTTCGAGACCAGTGCCAAGGATAACCTGAACATTGAAACGGTAATTCATCAATTAGGAAATGTCCATGATCTAATTCGGTGCATTCGCGAACTTTCTCGTAATATCTAAAACGACAAAAAAGAGCCTGTCAAAATGTATACTCTCTAACAGTCTGTAACTATGGTGTGAAGACGCATCAAGTTTCAGTATGGTATCTGTGTTCATGCGTGATATCGGGGAGGAACCTGGTACTTACACGACAGCGTGTAACATGACACTCGTAACTGAGACTCACTAGCGTCAAATGTTTGCTTATAGGAAGTCGTTTTACAGTCGTAATCTCGCATTGTGTGTATCAGGGCTGATACTAAGTGTGATCAGTGAATTAATAACTTCCGTATTTGTAAGCAGTGGGTATTCCTGCTTAATTGATACGAACAGTGTCGATTATTATACACTGCTGTTCCACTGCCACTACATAGAGATATGATTATAACTAACTAGTATAGATACATTATATTACACAATACTACCTATAATTTATCAAATTATCACGGCTTACATAATTTTACAAAAACTGACCTATTTTAGAACTCTACTATAATAATATAATAATTTAATAGAGGGAATAGAAAATCTCGTTCTGCAGACGATATGTTCATTACATGTCAGATCCTGTTCACTCATCATTTCAATGATCACGGCTTACATATTTGGTTCCTGAAGCTCCAGCTGAGAGTCTTGGTAAAACCAAACGGAATATACCAGGACTTTGTTATCTAATCGCTTTATATACCTGCATCATGATATCTAGACCGTGGCTTTAGTTTAGAGTCATTTTTTACTTCCATGCTATTAGAAACTAGAATTCTTAATTACCAACTATCTGGCTAGCAGACTCTCTGCCGATGGAACTACTAAATGCGGTCCAGGTCCGCGCGTTACATAGCCTCACAAGTACTAGCAAATTATTGACGTTTTTCTATAAAAAGTTTTAACAATTTCGCGCGTACACCGCAACACTGGGGATATGATATGATAATATAGCTAGATCGATCGATAGGATCGACAGTTAGTTTTTCTGTCTGGCCGAATAAAATGCATTTAAGAGCGGCCTGTCGGCAATATTATACATCGTCAGCATTTGAATCGCTCTCAACGAATAAATTCCAGAACACAGTTCTTTAGTTCCTGTATCTAATGAGTTGTTTTTGTGAATTAATTACAGTTTACTGCATCTTGTAACTAATGGCCTAGTTATCTTATTAATGTGCAAGCCTTTTATCACCTAGTTATCAGGAAATGACGACAACTATTTAGCGTTTAATAATCGATGACATTAGATAAATAGTTATAATTACACATTTTGCTCAGGTATTCGACGAAATAACTAAGCTGGTGCTCGCAATGAAAAAGAACAAACTTGCGCAGGCTAACCCCGCTATAACTTCAACGGGAAACATAACTGTGAAAAAGGGTGATAGTGGTAAAAAGAAAGGAAAATGCAGTTGCGGCTAGTCTTTTAAGTACCTCTTCTGATAGAACTTTAAACATTTTTGTATGGTTTAATATTGATAAAACTTTATTTTAGTAAAGAGATTAGTTTGTTTTGATGCCCGTTAGCGGCCTGACTGTACAGAAACATTTCTGAATCGACTGTAAAACTAATTCCGTACCTCTCCTGTGAGTGACACCCAGCACTGCAGACATATTAATATTAGGAACGTTCACAGATTACCTATAAACCGGCAATTGCTTTTTTCACCGGTACATTGTATTGAATATTGAGCTGGGATATGGAAAGTCTTAAAAACTTACAGTCAGATTTTTTAAAAGATACGTTTCATGTGATCAATATGGCATTTTTCTGTTTGCCAATTGCCCGGTTCAAGTTTTATTATTCGACATATGTTATGTATGGTTACAACAATGTTAAACCTGGTTAACAGTATTAAAGATTAAACTGGATGATTCTTTAATCTTTTACTTCTTAATTAGCTTGAATCTAGCTCTTCATTTTTTGATACAGATGTGTATTCCTCATTCCTGTGCATTCCTCATTCCTGACTAGCGGATTAAGGGGGCCGGGGGGGTCTTCATCAAAATTCTCTCGAAATTGATTTTATAGTTGTTTCTGATAGAGGGGAGTGATATCTATCAGCTGCTTTTGGTCCCATGGAAAAATATTGTTCCTAGCCGAAATTATCGCTGGTCAAAGGTCAGCGCTCATGTGTAATTGTATTGCGCGAGCGATTTTCAATCGCGCGTCCTGAAAATCGAGTCTAAAAATCTATCTTCTCCTACATTTTTTGAGCAATCACCCTGAAACTTTTAGGATATGTTCTAGGGATCATTTAGAAGAGAAGTATCGAGCCGAATTTTGAGATAGGCCTCAGAAAATTTTTAAATCGATTTTGAAAATCTTGGACCTGGAAAAATCGTCAAAAAATGAGGTCAAAGATTTTCAAAATCGAATTAAAAATTTTCTGAGGCCTATCTCAAAAATCGGCTCGATACTTCTCTTCTAAATGATCCCTAGAACATATCCTGAAAGTTTCAGGGTGATTGCTCAAAAAATGTAGGAGAAGATAGATTTTTAGACTCGATTTTCAGGACGCGCGATTGAAAATCGCTCGCGCAATACAATTACACATGAGCGCTGACCTTTGACCAGCGATAATTTCGGCTAGGAACAATATTTTTCCATGGGACCAAAAGCAGCTGATAGATATCACTCCCCTCTATCAGAAACAACTATAAAATCAATTTCGAGAGAATTTTGATGAAGACCCCCCCGGCCCCCTTAAATGATAGTTACTCTACTGGTCCTGTCGGAATGCGGTCGAAATCAATATATTGCTCATTTTTCTACACCACTTTGAACTGATAAACCCTATACACGAATCCGAGTTACGACATCTTGTAAGATGAACCTGTTTCATGGGTGCGCGGCGTTCTCATAATTTATCAGAAAAAAGTACGAATGGAAATTAAATTGATTTCGACCATATATCGACGGGATGAGAAGCATACTTGTTGCTCCGAATCCTAATATCACATTCCACTTATTGACTGATTCTTTAGGAAGGGTTTTGTCTTGATCATTGATTAGTAGGTCTCTTTTGACGTTCGAAGATACCTCTTTATGTAGCTGTGTAACGTTTTTATTGATTTTATACAAACAACAGTGCACACAATATTCGTTTATTTCGAAAATGAAGTGTATTGATAGATTTACGATTTTGTCATTATTTTATTTCTTAATTGGATCATCCGTCCTCAGATTTCATTTGAATTATTTGTTATTCTGATGCCGGCCCTCAAAAGGTTGTGCAATGACTTGCATTACAATGATAATGACATAAAAAACATGACATACAATAATAAGAAACTGCTCAAGAGGAAGTCCACAGCAGAAAGCTTAACAAAACGAAAATTTGTGTGTCAAATATGAAGTTTTTTTAAAACACAAATTTGACAGATTGGATGAAATTTTTGCCCAGAAACCAATTAGTCAGTTAATCGATGATGGTATGAAACCAAATTGAAGTACCGGCAGTCAAAATCCCGAATAAAATTGCAAAATCATATTGTTCTAATCTCTGTCCCATTTTCAGTTTTTGAAGATGAAATTTCCAGGACCCCAATTTTACAGTTGTGACTGATTTTTTCATCCGCAACCAATTAGTAAGTCAACTATAGATGCCAAATGACACGATTGAGGTGCTGGAAGCTTGATTTCGGTCAGAGGAAGCCCACAGCAGAAAGCTTAACAAAACGAAAAGTTGTATTTTCAAAATGCTGTCCCATTTTCAAATAGGAAATTTTCTAAACACAAATTTGACAGATTGGTTAAAATTTTTGCCCAGAAACTAATAAGTCAGTTAATCGATGATGGTATGAAACCAAATTGAAGTACTGGTAGTCAAAATCCCGAATAAAATTGCAAAATCATATTGTCCCAATCTCTGTCCCATTTTCAGTTTTTGAAGATGAAATTTTCAGGACCCCAATTTTACAGTTGTGACTGATTTTTTCATCCGCAACCAATTAGTAAGTCAACTATAGATGCCAAATGACACGATTGAGGTGCTGGAAGTTTGATTTCGGTCAGAGGAAGCCCACAGCAGAAAGATTAACAAAACGAAAAGTTGTATTTTCAAAATGCTGTCCCATATTCAAATAGGAAATTTTCTAAACACAAATTTGACAGATTGGATGAAATTTTTGCCCAGAAACCAATTAGTCAGTCAATCAATGATGATATGAAACTAAATTGAAGTACTGGGAGTCAAAATCCCGAATAAAATTGCAAAATCATATTGTCCCAATCTCTGTCCCATTTTCAGTTTTTGAAGATGAAATTTCCAGGACCCCAATTTTACAGTTGTGACTGATTTTTTCATCCGCAACCAATTAGTAAGTCAACTATAGATGCCAAATGACACGATTGAGGTGCTGGAAGTTAGATTTTGGTCAGAGGAAGCCCACAGCAGAAAGATTAACAAAACGAAAAGTTGTATTTTCAAAATGCTGTCCCATTTTCAAATAGGAAATTTTCTAAACACAAATTTGACAGATTGGATGAAATTTTTGCCCAGAAACCAATTAGTCAGTTAATCGATGATGGTATGAAACCAAATTGAAGTACTGGGAGTCAAAATCCCGAATAAAATTGCAAAATCATATTGTTCTAATATCTGTCCCATTTTCAGTTTTTGAAGATGAAATTTCCAGGACCCCAATTTTACAGTTGAGACTGATTTTTTTATCCGCAACCAATTAGTAAGTCAACTATAGATGCCAAATGACACGATTGAGGTGCTGGAAGCTTGATTTCGGTCAGAGGAAGCCCACAGCAGAAAGCTTAACAAAACGAAAAGTTGTATTTTCAAAATGCTGTCCCATTTTCAAATAGGAAATTTTCTAAACACAAATTTGACAGATTGGTTAAAATTTTTGCCCAGAAACTAATAAGTCAGTTAATCGATGATGGTATGAAACCAAATTGAAGTACTGGTAGTCAAAATCCCGAATAAAATTGCAAAATCATATTGTCCCAATCTCTGTCCCATTTTCAGTTTTTGAAGATGAAATTTTCAGGACCCCAATTTTACAGTTGTGACTGATTTTTTCATCCGCAACCAATTAGTAAGTCAACTATAGATGCCAAATGACACGATTGAGGTGCTGGAAGTTTGATTTCGGTCAGAGGAAGCCCACAGCAGAAAGATTAACAAAACGAAAAGTTGTATTTTCAAAATGCTGTCCCATATTCAAATAGGAAATTTTCTAAACACAAATTTGACAGATTGGATGAAATTTTTGCCCAGAAACCAATTAGTCAGTCAATCAATGATGATATGAAACTAAATTGAAGTACTGGGAGTCAAAATCCCGAATAAAATTGCAAAATCATATTGTCCCAATCTCTGTCCCATTTTCAGTTTTTGAAGATGAAATTTCCAGGACCCCAATTTTACAGTTGTGACTGATTTTTTCATCCGCAACCAATTAGTAAGTCAACTATAGATGCCAAATGACACGATTGAGGTGCTGGAAGTTAGATTTTGGTCAGAGGAAGCCCACAGCAGAAAGATTAACAAAACGAAAAGTTGTATTTTCAAAATGCTGTCCCATTTTCAAATAGGAAATTTTCTAAACACAAATTTGACAGATTGGATGAAATTTTTGCCCAGAAACCAATTAGTCAGTTAATCGATGATGGTATGAAACCAAATTGAAGTACTGGGAGTTAAAATCCCAAATAAAATTACAAAATCATATTGTCCCAATCTCTGTCCCATTTTCAGTTTTTGAAGATGAAATTTCCAGGACCCCAATTTTACAGTTGTGACTGATTTTTTCATCCGCAACCAATTAGTAAGTCAACTATAGATGCCAAATGACACGATTGAGGTGCTGGAAGCTTGATTTCGGTCAGAGGAAGCCCACAGCAGAAAGCTTAACAAAACGAAAAGTTGTATTTTCAAAATGCTGTCCCATTTTCAAATAGGAAATTTTCTAAACACAAATTTGACAGATTGGTTAAAATTTTTGCCCAGAAACTAATAAGTCAGTTAATCGATGATGGTATGAAACCAAATTGAAGTACTGGTAGTCAAAATCCCGAATAAAATTGCAAAATCATATTGTCCCAATCTCTGTCCCATTTTCAGTTTTTGAAGATGAAATTTTCAGGACCCCAATTTTACAGTTGTGACTGATTTTTTCATCCGCAACCAATTAGTAAGTCAACTATAGATGCCAAATGACACGATTGAGGTGCTGGAAGTTTTGATTTCGGTCAGAGGAAGCCCACAGCAGAAAGATTAACAAAACGAAAAGTTGTATTTTCAAAATGCTGTCCCATATTCAAATAGGAAATTTTCTAAACACAAATTTGACAGATTGGATGAAATTTTTGCCCAGAAACCAATTAGTCAGTCAATCAATGATGATATGAAACTAAATTGAAGTACTGGGAGTCAAAATCCCGAATAAAATTGCAAAATCATATTGTCCCAATCTCTGTCCCATTTTCAGTTTTTGAAGATGAAATTTCCAGGACCCCAATTTTACAGTTGTGACTGATTTTTTCATCCGCAACCAATTAGTAAGTCAACTATAGATGCCAAATGACACGATTGAGGTGCTGGAAGTTAGATTTTGGTCAGAGGAAGCCCACAGCAGAAAGATTAACAAAACGAAAAGTTGTATTTTCAAAATGCTGTCCCATTTTCAAATAGGAAATTTTCTAAACACAAATTTGACAGATTGGATGAAATTTTTGCCCAGAAACCAATTAGTCAGTTAATCGATGATGGTATGAAACCAAATTGAAGTACTGGGAGTTAAAATCCCAAATAAAATTACAAAATCATATTGTCCCAATCTCTGTCCCATTTTCAGTTTTTGAAGATGAAATTTCCAGGACCCCAATTTTACAGTTGTGACTGATTTTTTCATCCGCAACCTATTAGTAAGTCAACTATAGATGCCAA